AGTACTCGCTCTGTCCAAACACAATGACCTGCCAGACTTTATGATCTCGATCTTGACAGAAACAATGGCCATCGCAGGCATCTTGACAGAAACAATGCCCAGACTTTATGGTTGCTCTGGGAGTCGGGGGCAGAAACAATACCCAACAGTGAGGGCCTTTTGATTTGTACGAAAAATATAAAAATTTTGGAGGATTTCAATCCTATGTAAAAAAATCCTATGAAAGTCTTTGAAACAAATGATTGAATCCTATCCAATCCTTTAAAATTCCTATGGAATAGGTAATCCTATGCACATTTTAGAGAAAAGTTAGCAAGAGGTCTAACCTCTTGGAACATTTCCTCTGAGTCTATCTCTCTATCTGATTCCTACGTTTTTCCTGTGGTCCAATCAAACGGTCATTCCTGTGTTTTGCAATCTTCTGTTTTACAATTGTATTCCTGTCAGAATCCTGTGTTTTTTCTATTCCTCTATTTTTTTATTCCTACGATTCAAAGTGGGTACCCTTCGCTGGTGCATACAACAATGGGGTACATACGCACCTATCCTGATAAGCAACATCATCAGACGATCTGCGTAACCACCCTAGCACACGTGTCGATCAGCAGTTTAGTGTACATGTGCACTCGCGTGCAAAATTTCCAATTCCTATATATATATATATATATATATATATATATATATATATATATATATATATATATATATATATACATACATATATATATATATATATATATATACATACATATATATATATACATACATATATATACATATATATACATATATATATACATATATACATATATATACATACATACATATATATATACATATGTCTACGTATATATACATGTAGATATATGTGTACGTATATATACATATATATATATATGTGTACGTATATATACATGTATATATGTATGTATATATATACACTGATCTGATCAGAGCTGAGGAGATTAAACGAGATAGATGTCACTACTACAGAAAGACACATACATATCAACACTATATATAGTTGCGAGAACAACTAAAACCGGCACCAACCGGCACTTAATTGCAGTGCTTTTCCCTTCTTCGCAGGCGGAAAACATATAAAATCAACACCTTTAAGTAACTAATTTATTGCGTGATGATTGTAATTCTCAAACCATATTGCCAATCATATACTCCCTCCGTCCCCTAATATAAGGGATTTTGACATTTTGTTTGCACTGTTTGATCACTCGTCTTATTTAAAAAAATTTAGAATTGTTATTTTTTTTGTCTTACTTTATTATCCAAGGTAGTTTAAGCACAACTTTTCGTTTTTTTTATTTGCACAAATATTTTTAATAAGACGAGTGGTCAAACAATGCAAGCAAAATGTCAAAATCCCTTATATTAGGGGATGGAGGGAGTATCAAACTAACTACCCTACAACAAATTAAAGATATGGCTACAACCTTTGTGGCTTTTCATACGCAATGCAAAAGTTGCAGACGATCAAGGGTAGCGAGTACTAACCAGACCATATATGATAATATACTTTTGGAGTGGACATTGAAGACACTTAAGGAACTTAAGGCATGTCCGCGTCCATATATATGTGAACATCACTAGGTGTTTGAAGTCATCCAATTTTTAGAACACATAAAGATTCTCATAACAATAACTAGAACCAATTAGCAGCCTGTTTGAGTGAGTATGTAGGGTTCGGAGTCACCGGGAACCAAACTTATGCGTGATAACAACAATTCCTATGGCCTCTGTCCCTCTGCAGGTAACCACCTTGGGAGATGGAATCAACGATCTAATTGTGCAGCAGGGTGCCTAGAAACTCTCGTAAGAACACTGCAATGGAAATTACTTAGACAGAACTGGCAACACCAACCCTCAAGCTTGCCAAATGCGCTCCCTGTGACAGCCACAGAGCACGGACTGCCTCTCAAGCAGGTTGCTACGTACCCTATTGGCTTTGCCCATCTACTGCAGTAGTGCGTCGTCTGAAGGAAGGGCTAAGCTCTAGCTAGACGGACAAGCAATCGAGAGTACGAGACAACGAGACTGTTGGTTTGTATGCATGCTACTAATATACGGATTATCTATTTGGGGCTGGAGGACATTGGAACATGAAAGAAAACATGACTGCTATGGATCTTTGTGAAACTGGAACTAAGATGAACAAATCTGATGCGAGTCACACTGAAGTAGTAAATTTGGAAGGATCCAATAAGAATGCAATGCAACCTAGAGTAGTATCCATGTTAAGTTTGATTTGTTGCCATTTTCATCCTTAGAAAATTTTTGCATTACCAAAATTTGGCAATGCAACATACCAGACATGCTATTACCATCACAATTCTACTGATCTTTTCTTGTTCCAGAATTTTCCATTATCACAACTCTGCCGCTCAACATTTCTTTACCCTACTAAAATTCGGTAACTACCAATATATGTTTGGTGTTTTGTAGTCGATTAAATGGTGGCAAGTGTGCAGCTACTTATCTTATTGTTTGTTTGAGGGGGTTGTTCTGTGACGTTTTGAAAATTGATATCTAGACCACTTACCTGATCATGATTGGAGTCCAGTATGTAATACTCCCAACATCCATATATAAGAGTTAGACCTATATTTCATATTTGAGTGTAGTATGACTTAAATGGAGAAGTAAATTAAATGTTTGATTCATTTTAATGCTCATTGGTTACATGCGTACATACACTCCTTGATCTTTGTGATACTTATTCTTTTTTTTTTGCTATATACATGTTGTGTGATACTGAATTTTTTTCAGCCCTCCTTTTCGAAGAGTTTTTTGGTCTTCTTCCCTATGTCCTTCTAAACAGATCTCTCATTTTTAAAATACAGACAGATCGCCTTCAACCTACATTTAAACTTTCATTTCACATATTCTTTGTCTTTATTACTCCCTCCGTTTTAGGTTATAAGAGGTTTTGACTTTGATCAAAGTAAAACTAGTCTAAGTTTGACTAACTATGTAGAAAAAAAGTAGTAATATTTTTAAACCAAGATAACTATATTATGAAAATTTATTCAATTATAAATTTAATGAAATTATGCTGGTGTTGAAAACATTATTACTATTTTCTACAGAGTTAGTCAAACTTTGAGTAATTTGACTTTGACCAAAGTCAAAGCATCTTATAACCTGAAACGGAGGGACACTACAAGAAATATGACCTTCTGTGACGAATTCCTCGTGACGTCGGAGCTATTTGTCATTAGCACATTCCATTTTATGATGATCAGTATGAGATGGGGTGGCTTAGTGACGAAAAAAAGGTGTTCGTCGTTAATACCAACTATAAATCGTCATAAAGTATTTCGATGGGATATCATGAAGAATATTAATTTGTCATAAGGGGCACAAAGCAAACGTCATAGATTTATATAATGCATTTCTAGAAAAATATATTAATAGTTAAAGCAATTTAATCAAGTGAATTAACGAAGAAACTAAAAATTTTCCTTTAAAAATCATGGCCCGAAATATTTTGTAATATTCTATGTGGTCTAAATTATTCTTTGAAATTTTCCGTGAATTTTAGTAATTCAATAACTAATTTTAATACCATAAAGTTAATTTAACCTATTAAAATAAATAGAAAACAAATTAAAATCCCTCTATTTATCCTTGGGCCTTTTTCGGCCCAAGTACTCTCTCCCTCCCTCAGCCCGCAGCCAAATTCTCCCTCCTTGGGCCAGCTTCCTCTTCCCCTCCTCCCTCTTCGGGCCGCCGGCCCAACCTTTTTGCTCCTCCCTCACCGAAAAGTCTATTTACCTCCCTTCTTTCAATTCAAATAATTTTTTGGGTACTAAATGATTTCAAATGAAAAAAAATGCCAACAATAAAGTTGTATAACTTATCAAGATCTACCACTTTTGTTTTGGTCATTCTTCTATAAGACTTTGTTTCAATAATTTGAATTTGAATTTTAAATTATGACAACTTCAAGCAACATTATTAAGTATTAAATGATTTCAACTGAAAAGATCATCAACAACAAATTTGTATAACTCATCAATATCTACAACTTTTGTTTTTGTCATTTTGTTATATGACTTTATTTAAATAATTTGAATTTGAATTTCAAATTATGACAACTTCAAACAACATTTTGAAATACTAAATGATTTCAACTGAAAAAGTCATCAACATTAAAGTTGTATAACTCATCAATATCTATAAGTTTTATTTTGGTCATTTCTTCATGTGATAAAGTGATCTGTAACATTGTTCACAAAATGTACATATCTCTTGTATAAAATATAGGAGAGACATGTAAATTTTAAGAACAATGTTACTGTCGCTTTGTCCGATGAATAAATAACCAAAATAAAAGTTATAGATATTGATGAGTTATATAACTTTGATGTTGATGACTTTTTCAGTTGAAGTCGTTCACTAATAAAAAATTCTATTTGAAGTTCTCAAAATTTGAATTTCAAATTTCAAATTATTCAAATAGAGTCAGATGGAGAAATGACCAAAATAAAAATTTTGCATCTCAATGAGTTCTACAACTTTGGTTTTGGTGACTTTTCTATTTGAAATCATTTATTAACCCCAATTTTTATTCAAAGTTATCAAATTTTAAAAATTCAAAATTTGAATGGTTCAAATGAACTTCTTTGTAAAATAAGACCAATACGATAGTTGTAGATCTTGATGAGTTCTGCAATTTTGCTGGGTATGATTTTTGCATTTGAAACACATTACATACAACTTTCATACATTATTTATATGTAGTAATTATTTTTGGATATTATTTGTATTTTTTGTTGTTCCAAAAAGAAAGAAACTAAGGGCTGCGGCGCCAAAACTTTTGGTTCGATTGGAGCCAAAACTTTCGGCGCCAATCTTGGCGGGCTTCGGAAAAAGAAAAGGTGAAATGTCTGTTTTTGTCCAAAACTTTTCGTAACTACTGTTGACACAGCAAGGACATTTTGGTAAATTCGCATCGGATTTCATCTTATCCCTAGACCCTGGATCCCCAAACCGGTAAACCCTAGCCAAATCCTCTCCATCCTCTCTGCGGCCGCCACCATCCCCTCCCGACCTCCTACTCCGGCGCAGGCGCACAGCATCGCAGCTTCGGGATGACCACGACTCGGCTCGACGAAGCCACGATTGCCCCCCATCTGTCCATCTCTTCGATTTGATAATTCCTCATCTGCTTCGAAGTTGATTCGAGTGACGACCAACGACGGTGCAGGTGCGCGGGGCGGTGAGAGGCGGCAGCACCAAGCAGGAAGGCGGAAGGGCCGCCAGCCACCGGACGCAGCTGGAGGGCGGCGCATCCGCGCCAGAGCGAGGGGTGCGCGGCGCCGGCGCTGCAGGCAGTGGGCCAGCAAGCGAAAGCGGTCATGCAGCGCCGGCTCTGCAGGCGGCGGCGGCGGCCAGGTAATAGCTCTAGATCCATTCCTCCCTCCATTTTCGTTTGATTTATGTTGCTTTCGTGTATTCATATAGCTCTAGATCCATCAGTTCCTCCCTACATTTTTGTTTGATTTTTGTTGCTTTTCTTGGTTAACAAATCCGCGACAGGGAACGGGAGGCCATCGAAGGCGAGAAGGATCGCGGTATAAACTGCAGCGTCTGCTACTGCAGCAGTCGGCACACATATCATTTTTTGGGACAGCGGCACTGCTCCATCTTGCAGAGAGCAGGTAAATTCTTTCATACTTTCAACTCTTGATCTGACTAGTCCATTGCAGTAATTGATTTGACTAGTCCATTGCAGTAACTATGCCTGCTGATGTTAATGAAATTTGTAAATTGGAACTTTTCAATATGATAACTTTTTAGTGGAATGTAATATTTAAAAAGAACTGCACCAATTTTATGGTTGATGTAGTGATGCTAATTTACATATACCCAAGAGAAGCGACAAAACTGCTGTTGTTGCAACAGTTGGATTCCTTGAATAAAGAGGTAGATGAATTGTAAGCATCAAGGGAGCAGCAGTCGAAGAAAATTGAAAGTTTGAAGAACTCATCAGAAGAGACCAATTCCCTTCTTCGTCGTTTGATTGGCCATTTGGCCTGAATACTCCATATTTTGCTCTGCCTTAGTAAGGTTTGACTATCTCTTCATGTTGCCTTGCTTATTCATGATGTGATATATGAAATTATGTCTTTCTTTATCCTAACTTACGAACGAGTGTGACAATACTTGTTGTTATGTAAATTGTTTCATCTAGACTTTTGGGATGCTAGCAAAATATTTTATGTAGTCCAAGCCGTGTTACCGTGTATAAGTGATGCATTGCATCTTTTTTTTTCTCACTGCATAAGATTGTAGTACCATGCTATTTATCACCAAATAATTGAAGTATTGTCTATCAGGCGATATTTGTACAGCATGTTGTTGGCTGAATGTTTTTGGAAATCATGGCACTTATATAAAATCTTACATGCTATTGGCTACTATAATAATCATGATTAGTTAGATAAGGTGGATAGCTAAGTTACTTGCTTATGTATCATAGCTAAGTTGTTTCCAGATATTGCATCTGCCCTAATATCATAGGGTAATTTGTTGGTACAAAAACTATGACCACCTAGTTATCATAGTTGACTTGAAAAATCAAAATCTGAAAAATCATAACTTGATAAAAATGTGCCAGTTCCTTTTTACTGTTATTTGATAAATTAGAATATTGCTCATGATCTACTTTGTGCATAAGTTCCTTTGATTTGTTTTACTAGTGTGAGGTGTACCTAAATTCTGTTCTATGCATAATAGCTATTTTTTTTAGATTGAGTTTGGAAGTCTCATGTTTGAGCCACCGAAAGTAGACATGCATTTTTCAGGAGTTGGTAATACGTATGTACCTAGCTAGACTCACTACATTCTATCTAGCCTACTGCTTTTTAACTATATAAACCCTTGTTGTGGTTCTGAGACATGGTGGGTATGCACCTAGCAGTCTAGCACCCATATTTCATTCACATTGGATGGCATTATGGGCAGGAAAACTTTACAGCGATGGTATGTTGTATCTAGCACTTCAATTATGCATATGAAAAAACTTTCAGAGAGCGATGTCATATTGAATTTACAAATTGTTTGCATGCAGTTTCAGAAGCAAAACTAAGTATGAAGATGTGCTGCCTGCTGCAATTGATCTTTTCAAGGAGCGCCACTGCAGTAGCAAGACTGATTTTTACTGATGCATCAAAGTTGTTTATTTTGCTATGGTCCGTGTCATGTACATGAGCTTGTTGTGGTCACTTAGTAGTCGGTGAATCTGATTCTATGTATGTTACTGGGTTTGTGTTTTTTTATTGAGAGAATCCCTTATATGCCACTCCAAATTAACCGGTTTCCTTTATGCCACTCCAAATTGGCTCCTCCCTTCTATGCCACCGGTTCAAGTTTGTTGTCCCTTTTATGCCATTGCCATCACTTCATCGTTAGTTGACCGTTAAGTTCATTGTAAAAATACGCATTTGCCCTTGAGAGTTGGTATACAACTAATGATAGGTATTTTTTATTTGATAGAGAAGTTGGTACAACATATGAAAATTGATTATTATTTTTTTCATCACTTGCAATTTTAGCCATCACTATCACAAATGAATTTTCAATATAAGCATGAAACATAAAGCTTCCCAACAATATTCTAACAATATTTTTAATACAAAGAGCATTTTTCACTGGTCCTGACAAAAATTTGTTCACTTAAAAATGATTTAAAATAAATAAGTTATGAATTTTGGAAATTTGCACTTTCTTTAGTTGGGAGGGCATATTGGTCATTTACGAAAAAAATTAACATTTGACTAACAGTCAACGAACGTAATTGTGCTGGGAGTGACATAAAAGGGTGAAAAAACTTGAACCAGTAGCATAAAAGAAGAAGCCAATTTTGACTGGTATATAAGGGAACCGATCAATTTCGAGTGGCATATAAGAGATTCTCTCATTGGATATTAATTTGGCTTGTGTAATATTGGATGTTAATCGGGCCTATATAACCTTTGTGATATATGGGCTATTATTTGGTATAATGCTTGGGTCTATCTGGGTTGTTATTGCGTATAATGATTGGGTTTATATGTGCTTTTGACATTGGCTTGGTCCGGTTGTTATTTGATGCTAAATGCAAATGGATATAATACAATTGGGTTGAAAATAGTGAGTAAAGTGCTATACCTTAAATGGGCTAAGCTTAAATCTATGGTTTGCAATAGGGCTTAGCCCATAAACAAGCTGCACACTACATGGGCCTCAATACATGGATTTTAATGGGCATTAGATATTTTATGACGTTTTTTAGGCTAGATAATGATGAATACGAGCGTCACAAAGTTATGACGACACAAGGATCGTTATTAGATTATGACGAAAAAAATAAGGTTTTATCATAGAATACCGTTAGAGACGCATGATAGGTGACGAATGAATTTTCGTCAGTCACAGGTTACCAAACATGACGAAAAATTCAATGTCTCTGACGTAAATGAAGCGTCATCTAGATCTCTTGTAGTGGGAATAATTTGCATATTAATTACAGCTAATCATATGGTGTGGACACCATGTTTTACACGTTCTTTGGGAAACCTACATGGCTGCCGATTATAAGATCTCACCACATGGCAAGTAGTACTTCCAATTTCCAAACGGCAACCAATGTACCCTGAAGTAGGGGTGAAAACAGTACGGAAACTTTCTAGATTCCGGACCTATTTTCGAAAACGGAATCTGTCGGTCGAAATTTTTCGGAAACAGAAACGAATTCGGAAATATTTTCTCGGAAACGGAATCGGAGATGACAAGGGCAGTTTCCGTCGGAACTCGGAATCGGTCAGAAACTTTCCGGAAATTTTCTTGGAATTACCATGGATTCTTTTTTTAAGCACTGAATAGTGAATACCATGGTGTTTGGCTTTTTTTTTTAAAAAAATATTTGTTATGCAAATCTAAAATTACATAAGAATATTTTTTTCCTACATTAGGATTTATCAACAACATTACTCTTTTAAATATAGATAATTTATTCAATCGGCTAAGAATATATATATACCGAGAAAGAGGTAGAGAGATTGATGATGTATCCACATCTGAGAAAGCAATCAAGTTGTAACACCTCTCTGGATATCTGTGTCTATTGTTTATATAATATAATGTGTGCTTATATATAAAACAGTACAAAAACTTGCAGATATGATATGATCAAGGAGTTTCTACCAATCACATGTGAGGATAACTACTCCCAAAGAAGCAACCAACATCTCATATACTGAAGTACACGTAAAAGGCGGCTAAGGGCATGTACGATGGTAGCCACAAGCAACTGTGGTCTCAAGACGCCACGTAGGATAGAACCACACAAAGGTCACACTACCCACAGTGGAAGCCACTCCAAAACGAATTTTGCATGTCAGCCCCTAACTATTTATATGTCAGCCCTTGTATTATCAAACCTATTGAAACTTTATATTTTGAACCCTATAATAACCAAAAGAAGTATATGCACACCCCTAAACAACGTGGGACCCACTGTCAGTCTCTTCCCATCCCCCTCTCTTTTTTATTCCCCCCTCTCTCTCTCTTCGATTTCTTCTCCACCGACAGCGTCGCTCGGTTCTCTTCTCCTCTCCCCTCACCTCGCCGGCTTCTCCCCTCCCCTCGCCGCCCTCTCTTTTCCCTCTGCCTCCGGCGGCAGATCGGTGCCACCCGAGCTCTGGCGGCAGCGGATCTAGCGAAGGCGGGGAGCAGCGGTGGCGGCAGCGGTGGATCTGGCGGTGGCGGGGAGCAGCGGTGAGGTCGACGCCGCCGTCCTCCTCCCCCACAACGGCGCGGACGATCTCGCCGACGGCGTGACGAGCTTGGCGGCGGACGAGCTCGCCTACGGCGTGGCGAGCTTGGCGGCGGCGGGCTCGCCAGATCTGGCGGCGACGGCCACAACGCGGCGGCTGTTCCTCGACGTCACCGTCTTCCTCCCCCCACGACGGCACAGACGAGCTCACCGACGGCGTGACGAGCTTGGCGGCGGCGGGCTCGCCGGATCCGACGACCACCACGGCGGCTGTGGCGGATCTGGCGAGGCGACGACGACCACAGCACGGGGGGACCGGACGAGGCAATGGCGCGGAGCTCCGACTCCTCCAACGCGAGACTTCGGCTTGTGGCTTCGCGCCTCCCGAGCCCAGGCGCGGCGCTTGCTCCGGTTCCTCTGCAAGCTCGCTGACAGGCTCCGAAACCACCCAAACGCGTGCCAGCTCGGCTCGGCTCCGACGTGGAGTTTTGAGACCACAGGCTAGTGTCACGCGTTATACATGGTATAAGGAAGTTAAGGTGTCCATGTCCATATATATGTGAACACCTTAAGTTAGTATTTGTAAGCCGTCCTATTTTTAGAAACACATGCATGTCTGAGTGAGCTTGTAGGACTAGGTGGCATAGGGAATCATGCTTATGCATAGCAGGAACATATCATATGGTGTTTGTCGCTGGGAAGATAGCAGATCTGGTCATCTGGGAGATGGAAATGTGGGTAATATTACCTCTATATTATGATGCAGGTAGCTGCAAACATGCCCACCTGGCGCGTTCTCTGCAGGGCTAGATGAACTAGCAAATTAACAACGAATATGCCTCTAATCTAATAGAAGGTATATTTTTCGCTGATGTTGGTGCAATATACTGATCATATCGGACCTGAGGGGTTTGAAGGACAAAGATTAGATATATATGTCTTTGGTGTGTGTCCATGATCAAACACACATTTTTCTGGTAGGAAAAATGTGGAGGATTAACTTTCAGCCCATCAATTAACAGAACGTAATTATCTGTACTATCTATGTAGTTATTGTTCATTAACTTCTATAGCTAAACATGCAAATATGCCACATCATCACTAACTAGCAATTGATAATTAACAGAATGTAATTTTGTCATACTGAAACGGAGGGAAATTAATGCTAATCTATCCTCCAATATGACAAAAAGTTGCACATTAATCACCACTATAATAATACTATCTTTTCTTTGAAAACATAGTAGGCATCCATATACGGCATAATATTGCTCATGTGTGTAGATCTTGCAAAGCTGCATTATTATACCGACTGAAATGCAATATAAAGCAATGACTGCTAGTAGCTAGCTAGCATCTTAGAGCAGTTAATAGATAGAAAATCAGCTAGCAAATACAAGTGAATTCCTCCCTGGTTCTTGTTCAATACATTTCTTTCGTGATCATCTACAATCATCCAGAATTTTCTTGTGAACAGTGCATGGCAGGCTTGATGCATCAGGAAAGAAGCTAGCCTGCATATTTGCGAAGGCGCAACAAGCAAAAGAGTTGCTAGATTTAGTTTGAAACAGATGAAAAGATGATGAACGATCTAGTGCTTGAGACATCACAAGCTTGGGAAAAAAAAGTAATCCAAGCAATGCTGATGCTTAACATTTAATTATAGAAAAGTCGTATATATTTTAGCGTGTCACAAAAAGTTTGCTTAGGCTGCGTTCGTTCCCGCCGTTACCAACTTCCCCTCCTTGTTTTTCGCGCGTACTCTTTTCAAACCGCTAAACGGTGCATTTTTTATAAAAAGTTTCTATACGAAAGTTGCTTAAAAATAGCATATTGATCTTTTTTTTTAAAAAAATAGCCAATACTTAATTAATCACACGCTAAATGCTGCTTCGTTTTACGTATTAGGGAGAACGTTAACACAGCCTTAGTAATCCACAATTGATGATCGTCTGATTTTAGCTAAGGGAAATTTTGGACACGACTCCACAGCAAAGATAAGTGAACGTGGGTATCTCATAGGGGACAGGGCCTTGAGATTGTAGTGGAGCTTAAAGAGAAATAGCCTAAGTTTATTTAGTGCAAGGGCTATTCTACTAGTCACATAAAGTCATGGGACTTCGTTGTAATTTTCTGAAAAGCTGGAGGGTATATATAGCTGATATTAGCCTCCAGTAATGTCCGGTCTAGCCTTGAGATACAGACGTACAGTATACAACTTCGTTTATGGAATTATGTTTTTCCTTCTAATCGTGGCATGTTGATTGTTTGTAATTATTATCAGTTCCTCAATATGTTGATTGCTTGTAATTATTAGCAGTTCCTATCCATTTCTCATGAACATATATAGCGTTTTATGTCATGAATCCCATTGTCCAATGGAATCTTTGATGAATGTGTGTCTCCTGAACAATCAAGCTAACAGTGCAGTAGCTTGTTATTTTTTACTCTTACCTTCAAGACTATAATGACGATGGCTACTGTTTCAGCACACATTATATACCACAATTCAAATTCCCAATCATATAAAATAAACTACTAGCTGTCCTACAACCTTATTATACATATAAAATAGTAGAAAGATTGCATATATGATCAAGGGATATTGATGAA